CGTATTAACACGACAACTAGATAGTCAAACATCTTTCTACCCTCTTCTAGATCAATCCGTTTCGAATAAGCACCAAGGTAATCCAGTAGACTGCCTTACAAATGGACCTTGTATGAGCGTCCGGAACGCCTACTCTCAAAAATAAATGATTCGAGAACCAATGTATGTGACCTCCTTTCAGAAAATAATTCAAAAACGGAAGCAGAGTTGTCGAAACCGATTTATCGTAGGGAGATTGCAGTACCTGGAGTTCAACTGGATTCGTTGGATGGAACTAATTCGAATGGAGGCGCAATTAGTTTCTTAAAGCTACTTATGGGACCATCTGGCGAAACTGGCGGTGGTCAAATCAGTCATCAACCCTACCGAACGCGTGTTGGTTCGAGTGCAGAAGGCAAACTGGATCTATTTTACGAAAAATAAACGTCATACTCAAAAAACAGTCTAAAACCCCGAGAAATCGAGTGAAGACAACACAGCTACCATGTACAGAAACATACCGAGTCTATTCAACAAAATAGATGAACTCAAACTGGTCGTGCACCATTTGCACTCCGACCTCGTGGATGTAAATAAAACATGCATAAATGAGCAGATAGCAAATGCAGTTGTCAGAATGGAAGGGTTTAAGTTTATCCGCATGGACCGCGATGGGCGCAGGGGTTGGAAAAGCGCAATATTCATACGAGATGACATTGACTACGGCCCAGATAGGTTGTCATCAAACAACAAGACTACCTGTGAAATGCTTAGTTGTAGCTTAAGGGTACCAAACCAAACTAACCTCAATATTACCCTGGTATGCTTATCCTAATACAACGGACAAACACGGACGGCGGACTCATCACTGAGATAAACAAATATGCCATGGCAAACACGTCTTAATACTTGAAAGTCTTAAGTCTCCAGACATTGAACGGGAATTTATGAACAACTCAACCGAATTGAAGGTATGTAATTTGCTAACTGAAGAATTGCTTACGTACCACGTCACAATGGATACATGGTTTCAAAATGGTCAACAGGCAAGTGGTTTGGATCTCATCATTAGCAGAGATCGAAATTATATTCTTGGATTGAGTACTTAGTCCGATTTTGACGTTCCTATTTGGGAGTACAGCCATTTTTCTGTACCGTAATTCTATAAGTAAGGGAAAAAATGTAAGGAAAGGGGATTATACCAAAATGAATGGAACACTTAACGAGGCCAATTGTAGCCCTGCCTACGAAAATGATCCAAACGCCGCCCGATGCTTATTTATTAACTTGACTCAGCACTTAATAGAGAACAGTTGCCCGCTTAGAAAGAGCTCGCGCGTCTTCCGGCCGGAATGGGTGACACCGAACATAAAAAGGCACCTCGAGAAGAAACTAAGACCTTGAGAAACCTATGCCAAGTATCAACGAACTGAAAATACCTTCGCTTTTAAAAAACAGCGAAATCCGTGTGGAAAACCCTGCGGAAAGAACTATCGTCCTTTGAGTCAAAACTAGTCAAAGGAATAGCAAACGTATCAGAAAGGTTATTTTTTAAGTGAATAAAGCACAGCCAGAACCTCATTCCTCGTCCGAAAGATAATCAGGGAAACAAGTTGACCGATAACTCGTATACGACGAGCCTCTCGTCTAACTTAAGTAGGTCTGGTGAACAGAGGAACCGCATTTGAGGAAGAGGTACAACGATGTATTAGCACATCATCGAATTCAGTTAACACGGTGCTGTTCGCGACAGACAAGGTAAGGCATATCCTGAGGCAGATACAGTCCACTGAGTCGCACGGCCCAGATGGCAGATCAACGAATGTTCTGAACGACCTCACAGAACAACGGGTTTTCCAGCTGTCCAAATCTCAGAATGTTCGATAGTGGAGGAGTTTCTGACCCAGGACTGATCAGGGGATTCTTCCTCTAGTTTGACGAGAAGCTTTTTAGTGACGTATTTAGAACATTTGTCGGCCGGTGTTAGAATATTGTCTTCAGGCACCTGGATAAAGCAAGATTACGCTCCGCAACGTCCAACGAAATGCGACCGAATCAATCCGTGGTTTGGAATGCCTACCGGCTAGAAATCCCAAATGTTTTCTCTTGGTTATAGGCAATACATGGGAGATGTGATCATGTTCTTCAAACTCGTCCACCAAGTAGGCTTCATTCTTCAAATGACTGAAGTTTTTGAATTGGCATTCGACAAATCTCCGGAGTCACGAATACAAAATAAATAAACATAACGCTATAATTAAAGTGCGAATCAACCCCTTTTCATATTGAGAAATTGAAGACAGAAACAAACAACTTTCTTCTGTTGTTCATACCGAAATTGTTTACACATTTAAAAGAAGAATTATTTAAACTTTACTTAATGGCAACATATTTGGTAGACATAAGCGATTGACATTTTTTGCCCATATCACTCTGTAACATATGCAAGCTTTGCCAGAATTCATCTGTATATGGGGTTTTAGAGGGCCCTGCTTTTTTTACTTATATGTACTGAAGTATAGTCCGAA